CCTTCTAAATATTCCTTTATATGTGGTTCTGAGTTCTGGGACCATCCTCTGAGCCTGCTTGGTCCTGTATTCTGTGTTGTTGCTGGCAGAGCTCCTTACTGCACTTCCACCCGATCCACCATCTTGTTTGTTCTCCTAACTACAGCTTTAATAGATGCACAATATAACTTAAGAAAATGTGATTACCCATAATGGGGAAAGGACTTCTATTATCTTTCTTAATATCTTTTATCTGACATATCTTACAGAGGAAAAGACTAAATGGCTGACTTTTTATTCAATGTGATACCATGCATCAATATTTTCATATCTTGTTTAAGAAATCTTTTGCTACCGATACCATAAAGAGATAAGCATACATTTTTTCTAAAAACTTTAAAGATTGACCTTCATAGTTCGATAATTTCATTAAACAGTAATTTAATTTCTATGAGATAGGGACCTAATTTTATCTTTCACCATTTGACTAGCCAGTTGTCCAACACTGTTTAGTGGATAAGCTCAATTCCATTTAGTGCATTCCAACTCATAGCAATCCCACAGGACAAAGTAGAACTGTCCCATTGGGTTTTCAAGGCTGGAAGTCTTTGCAGAAATAGACACCACATCTTTCATTCATGGAGCAGCTGGCAAATGCAAACCACCAACCTTTCTACTAGCAGATGAGTACTTAACCATTTTGCAACCATGGATCTTTTTGTTTATTGAATATTTCATCCTTATCCCTAAACATTAAACATTTCTTCTATCAAATACCAAGCTCCTATGAATCTGTTCCTGTGTGCCCCCTCTTTTTTTTTTTTTTTTAATCTGTGCCTTCTGGTTTTAATTATTTTAATTTATGAAAAATCTTGACGTTAGGGATGTATGTTCTCCTTCAGTCCTCTGTTTCAAAATAATTTGGACTATTCTAAGCAATTATTATTTTCCTCTGAGTTTAGAAGCTGCCTGATAAATGTGTGAATGCATACACACACACAAACATTTTTGGATATTTATTAGAATTGTACTGATTGATGAACTAACTTGGGAATGATTTTTATAATTTAGATATTGACACTTCCCAAATATGATTCACTATACCTTTCATTATACTGTTGCTGTTGTTGTTGTTAAGTGCCGTCAAGTTGGTTACAACTCATAGCGACCTTACACACAACAGAACGAAACACTGCCCAATCCTGTGCCAACCTCACAATTGTTGCTACACTTGAGCCCATTGCTGCTACTAATGTGTCAATCCAGCTCATTAGGAGGTCTTCCTCTTTTTCTCTAACTTTCTGTTTTACCAAGAATAATGTCCTTCTCCAGGGACTGGCCCCTCCTGATAACATGTCTGAAATATAAGAGACAAAGTCTCTCCATCCTGGCTTCTAAGGAGAATTCTGACTGTACTTCTTCCAACACAGATTTGTTTATTCTCTGGCAGTCCATGGTGCTTTTAATATTTTTCTACGAAAAATAAGGCTTTCTGCTCCTGTAAAGATTTACAGCCTCGAAAACTCCGTACAGGGTCGCTATGAGTTGGAACTGACTCTACGGCACATAACAACAACTATATATATACTGTTGTGTGATCTATTTTTTTAGTACATGTTAATTAATTAATTAATTTTATAAATTCGGACCCATAGTGACCCTCTATATGGTTTCCGAGGAGTGGCTGGCGAGCTTGAGCCGCTGACTTTGCGATTCAAACCTATTTCGCAGTCCAGCCCATTAACCCACAGCGCCACACCCGGACTCCTAAATTTGTACAGTG